TATTATTATAAAAGTAACTTAAATCTAAAAAGATGGATCTTTTTAAGTTATTTAATACTAAATTTGGTAAAATATGTAATAATAATATAATTCAAATTGTAACCTGAACTCCACATTCCCAGAGTGATTTACAATTTATAATAACATGTACAGTAGTTAGACACAGTTCAAAGGGCAATAAAAGAATAAAATTTAATTATAAATAGATGTATACTGTTACGAACTTAGTGCTACTTAGGATAAACGAATATAGTTTTATGTTATAATTTGAAGTCATTCAAGAAAGAAAAATGGGGAATTTAGGTTTATTTCGAATTTTTTTCTGGTGGTTACGAGAATGGGATCATGTCAATGATCCTGTTTTGAGTTAGTGTAGAGAAAATAACAGATAAACTATAAAGTTTTACTGAAAAAACTTTTGAAATGCATTTAGGAGGTTTCAGGAATTATACAAAGGAAATTTGAGATTTTTGAGATGAGGAAAAGTATTTATAATTTCAACATGAAAATTACTTTGCACGTGGACTATTCAAAACAAATGCTCAATGCATTAATGGACAAATCTTTATTTTATTTAATTTGAAATACTTCACTAAAAAATGTGATTTTTTTTGTAAAATATTTGTAATATTAACTGAAAGCCCGTCAAATTTTGTGAAGATATACACATTATATTGAGAGTTATAAATATTAAAATTATAAATACTAAACAAATACAAAAAAGTCACGTGATGGTTGCCACATCGGTCAAATCTACCGAACCCGTACAGAGATTAATTACTGAAAATAACAGAAAAAATATAAAGTTTTTTCTTAAGAAATGTTTGTTAACTATGTGGACATTATAAAGATTTCACATTTGAGAAATTTCGAAATTTTCTGGTGCATAAAAGTATTTTTAATCTTAAAATTAATATTCTTTGCATGATAGATAGGCAATATGCAAAAAGAAAAAAAGACATGAGAAAAACATTACTTTACAAACTTTAAGTCTTAATAAAAAAAAATTATATTTTGTTTATGAAAGCATTGTAATGTTTTCTGATAATTCACCAAATTCTGTTAACATTCGCTTACTAATTTAAAAGTTATAGTATGAAAACTATAACCTGTGCTGAAAGAGTTAAGTACTTTATTTATTGTTTTTCATGTGTATTCTTTATTTATGAATATAAAAATAATTAAAATGTAAAAATTAGAAACATATTAGGTTAGATTAGATAATGAAAATAATAATAATAATTCTTCACAAGGAATGCTCGTGAGCAACTCGTGAATTGTATGTAATTTGATATGGTAATGTGAGCTACATATACATTGTGGAGTTACAACATGTGGGACAGGTCTGTTATTTAGTTATGAGCTATAAGCTATTTATGGATAAACAATTGTAGTTCTCTGTTACAATTTGCAGTCATTCTAGAAAGAAAAAAAGGGTAATTTAGATTTATTTTGTACTTTTTTTTGTGTGGTTCAGAGGTCAGTTAAAGTGACAGAATGCATATTGAGTTAGGGTAGAGAAAATAACATATGAAATGTAAAATGTTACTGAATAAAACGTTTGATGTTTATTTAGGAGGTTTTAGAGTTTACACAAATGAAATTTGACAATTTTGAGATGAAAAAAGTGCTTTTAATCTTAATATGAAAATCACTTTGTACTAAGAGCAGTCAACACTCTGACTACATATATTCATGGATGATTTTGTAGTAAAAATAATTAATTAAAAAATATGATTTTTTTTACAGAAAAGTCTTCTAATTTTTATTGAAGCTTACCAAATTTTTTGAAGATACTCAAAACATATTAAAAGTTATTTTATGAAAACTGATAGTCACCTTGGAGTTACAAGGTGGGTGTATTCCATGGAACCCATAGCTATAGTTTTAATCCGTTTCAGATATTTTTTTATAGTTCATTATGTTTTAAAATATTCATTAAAGGCTTTTATGCATTGGTGTCCATTTTATCTGTTATAAAAAATTGCATATATTCAGTGTTGGAAGGTTTTTTTTATACTAGCTTAGTATTTTTTGTCTCTGTGTTAATTTGGGTATTGTAAAGTTTAAAATTAATAATCTGTGTGAAGGTGGTGCAATCTGGTGACAGCTCGTGTTAAAAGAGAAGAGCTAAAAGATCAGTGGTATCATCCTGGTGTTATACTTTCAATGTTGCTACTGTGGAATCCTGGACTTCTCATTGTGGATCACATACACTTTCAGTACAATGGATTTCTCTATGGAATCTTGCTGCTTTCCATTGTTCGTATAATTCAGGTAATGCATTGTTTCCATAAGATATGAATCAAGTCAGAAATATTAAAACTATTTATAAATATCATTAGAATGTTGTAACAGTATGTTAGTACTCACTATCAACATTTTCATTATTATATACATATCCTATTGTGATTGCAGTGCAATTAAATGTGCTTTAATGACAAATTTAGGAAAGTTGGAAAACATTTCTTTATAATGCACATCAATATCATAGCTAATTGTTTAATATATCAAGTAAAAATCACATATTTTTCTGTGAGAAAATTACTATATGGTGTACATAGAAGTAAAATATGTTTCATTTATATGTATGCTATGTGTTTACAAAACATACTTACCTCCGCTGCCATTTATAGCTATTACTCGATCACCAGGGTTTCTTCTTTGCCCATCTAAGCATTAGTCTGATTTTTTTCTTCCTTGCTCCAGTCTTTTATACCCCCACTCAATTGCCCTTGGCAGTATTTGTTTCTTAATACTCTCCACCCAAGTCAATGTGCCCTATATCCTGGTACTGTATATAAGCACCTTATTGAGATAATTTTATCACTTTTTCTATGCAACACATTCAGCCATGGGTTTCTTTACAAAAGTGCTGTGATAATTAACATCCTTGGTTGCAATTTTCGCATTGTTTAATGGCTTTTTTTATAAATTATATTTAATAATAATTAATTAAAAAATAATTTTAAAAAATTTTCTTTCCTCTGATTATGGCAAGTTGATTATGGTATGAATTATTGAATTTTTATTTCCGGTATGAAGGCCAATTGGGTCTCTCCTTTCCCACCTCTGATATCTAGCATCGCACAACTTTAGATTAGCTTTTTCCTGTGCATTCTTTTAGTCTGTTGGACTTTCAGCCCCATCTCTGGGTCAGTGGTAGGTTTACAGACTCTAACAGAACAACTTCTATTATCATGGTCTTTAGCTGACCTATGAAAAATGAAATGGAGGCCACTTTGGGATAAGCTGCCCCTGATTTCTTTTTCTTCTGTTGGTTCTTTGAGTGTGTAATGTTTTGTACTTTTTTTCCGGTTGATTTTGAGCCTGCAACTTAATTGATGCCTGAAATGTCTGGGAGCAAATTTTTTTTTTCTACATATACAGATATTGTGGTTCATGCTGGAAGGTTTACTTCTTCATTACGTTAGGCCTTTTCCGACACGTCGGAAACTTCGTGGTTTTGCCTACCTGGCTTTTCCGACTCTCAAATATTATCTGCTCCTTGAATTTCAGGTTCTAGGGCAAAATTTGTAGTTCACCTATATAGGTCTATGTCTCCTATGGGACAATTAAATTATAATATTTCATTTCCTTTCATTTCACTTTGTTAGAAGATTTTCAGGATCACCAGTTTCATTGAAGACAAGCTGGATCCATTGTTAGCATGCACAATGATTCAATTTTTTGCTTCTACATTCCTCCCGGTTGTTGTTAGAGTCTCAAATTTCATTGGCTACTACAGGAGGGTCATAGTTCTGCCCGTATGTATGAGTACTGATCCTCGACATCAGCTCCTTGGTACATTGGTACTCAGAATAGATTCTGTGTATATGTAAGGTTTCCACTGCTTAATTCACAAATTAATCATTCCTCATTTTGTGTTGATTTTTTTTACTGGGCTTGTGAATGTCCAACTTGGTTGTAGTTGGCTCCTATATGCACTTTGCCTTAGTGGTGGAGTCCCACCACTGTCAGTGTTTGTGGTGCACAAGGATCAGGTACTGCTGTTCCAGGTTTTTCCTTTGCTATCACATAGGCTTAACATGGGTTCTGCTATATCGTATGAGTTTTCTCTTCCCTCTTCATTCCATCATATTGTGCACACACCATTCCATGGATGACTGGTTACTGCTGGCAACATCACATCAATTGTTAAGCCATCACATTCTGCTTCTACTTTCAGATACATCCCAGGTAGTCTTCTCATTTGGGACTGTGATATCTATTCTTGCTCCAATTCAATATGTCATCTGTCTGGGTAATTTTATTTTTCATCTCATCTCTCAGTCAGGCTCAGCTGACTCCCATCCTGCTCATCACTATAGAAAAAGATGCCACACTCTTACTCACCTCTCCTTCTCCCACTGCATGGATGGTTCTTTCTCTTCTGGGAATGTGGACATCACTCAAATCACTAGTGCCATTGGGATGAGAACACAAGCAATCCTTTTACTGGTCTTTAACTGACCAGGGATTGTATTTGTCTGTTTCCCCAGTTTCCTTCATCTGGATCATTCTTCAATCTCGAGGGGTTAAGTCAGGACACTACTACAAATTGGGTTCCTCTACTGACACCTCATCCAGAGTTCCATTACCTTTGTGAATGCCTTGTTTCAGGGATGGGGTACCTATACCAACAATCAGGAATTCCAGAGTATGCATGGCGGACGACGAGGATTCGCTACGCAATGTTTTTGTCATTCTTGCTTTTCATCAGGCATGGTTTCTTCAGGCTTCACTCTACTATTCTGTGGTGGTGTCTTATGTATTTCATGAAGGAGGCATATGGTTTGGGGCTCCTTAGTTTCGAATTTTGGACCTCCTTTTTTGGGACTAGTTTTATCACCCTTCTAGCTTTCCATGTTCCTCAGGTGATGCCTGTGGTAGCAGGTTCATTGTCTCAATCCAAACAGATTCTCCTGACGTTATAGATGTTGCATTGCAAGGTTCAGTTGGATTGCCTCTCATTGGATCACCCAACTACTGGCAATTTGGTGTGCTTTGGGCTTTAGCAATAGATGCTTTCTATCTGGACAAGACTGGATTACCACTCTCAACCTTCTCTCCTTTTCATGTGTTACCCAGGGTACGAAATATGATTTGTTCCAACCCATTGTCCGATCCTGTTATCGCACCAGATTGGTGTCTTTCACACAGCATTAGAGTTTAATTTCTAAGGTTGACATGTATCTTGCTTAGTTTCAGCTTAGTCTGAAAGTCACTTTTCTCAAAGGTAATGACATGCATATCGGCAATGTTGTATTTAGAGGAGGTTTAACCCTTTTCAATCAGTGGTGTCAACCATAACTTTTTTTTGAATTGACTCTTTGTTGGAAGTTTTTGCATCTTCCACAATTGCCATTGTTTACAGCAGCCTTATCAACTACCATTTGATTATTGCAACTACATACTTTTGAGTTCCCGTTACTCTCCCAATTCCTCAAATCATTTTGGGCAATGGGTTCCAAATTACCATTCCAGTTACCTAATAGGTAGATTCAGGTTAAGTGTTTTTTCTCAACACCTGTTTGTGACCTGATTCATATATGCCTTGTATCCCCTTTACCTGCAAGTTTATTTTTTGTAGCTGCTAATCTACAGACGTCACTGGTCGTAGTGATGTGTGCTGTTTGTCCGCAGATCACTTTCTCATTCTCTCTATGTCCTCAATCCAGTCCTTCTTACCTAACACTCTGTCATACAGGAAAGGGATTCAGTGCTTTTCTCTGATTCATCTGCTCACCCTGTTTCTTTATGTCCAATCAGATATCAATTTTGGTCATATTCAGTAAGGGTCTTGAAAGTTTTGTTGCCTGCACTTACACCTTTATTCTGGGCTCCCTTTGAATGCAAGGTATCTTCTGTGGGTCACATCTCATCAGATTTTACTTTTCTTTGCCCTTAGCAGCATGGTCGAATTCCTGCTCGAGGTCACTATATGGATCCTTCCCAATACCTTTTTCTCACATTATTTGCTTGAACTGGCAGTATCTTTTTCTGAAGGTTTTTGCCTACACCCTATAGCTATCTTAACTATTTCTGCTAGATTATTCAGAGAGGTGAGTATTTTTATTTTTTCCTTTCAGAGTCCCTTACCTTGTTTTCACAGGATCCCACTCTGTGGCATTTGTGGCCCAGACAGGTGTGTGCTTTTCTCAAACCAAATCTGCACTAGGAACAACTATTTCACTATAATTACTACCACTTGAAATGTTCCATAAAACCATGTTGGAACTCACTAGATGGTATTAACATACTATGCTGGACTGTCACTCAAGGACTATCATGAGTAAATCTAAAGGGGATCCTGCCCATCCCCTCCAATCATCAGATTGAATAAATTGGGATTGGTTTGGTTTTAAAAATTTAGAGAACTTGGTTTGCCTGTTGTACTATTTCCAGAGCACTGTTCCTCAGGTCTCCCCAGTGTGCATTACCCCCCAGATTCTACTAGAGGAGTCCTTACCACACCCAGTTTCCAGTTACTGGGGCGGTGGACAGAGGCTTTACCTATAGAGTGTTAGAGTGAATTCCTCTACTCTCGGAGAAGTTGAGGCCCTCCTACCCGGATCCTTGGATGTTTGTTCCCAGATGTTGGTAGGATCACCAACATCCTATGTGGGAGCCAACTTGTAATACTGGTTCAGATTTGACACTCAGCTATCTGGTTGGAGTGTTTCTGGCCTTTCTTTTTGATCAATATCAGTCAGTATATTGTTCATAGAAGGAGGTTCACTATCTCCTCATAATTCCAAATACGGAGTGGTCCATTCCTGGGTCTTTGGTTCAGTACAGTTGTTGCATATCTTCTCCATATTTCTGGGGGCAAGTGAAAGGCTCCTTGCCCACTCATTTAGGGAGTGAGGATGAATGTTCACAATTCCAGATTAGATGAGTTCTGTTCCTTTGGTTGAGTAAGGCATACACGATCTCGTTATTCCGAACTTGTGGTGTTGCCTTTCAGGCTTCTTCAGGTTGGGATCCAGTCAAAAGTATATCTATATATAATGTTGCAGTCCAATTGCCCTAGTCATCAACATGGGATATAGGGACCAAGACCTCTTAATTCCAAACCTGAGTAGTGAAACCTTGGCTGTCTGGTTGGGACTGGCCTATAGTGATGATGACTCATGTACAATTCCACCCTCGATACAGGAACTTAGCTCAGGTTGAAGAGAATACCTGTTCTAGATGTAGTGCTATTCCTCCACTTGGGTACCACTCTTATCTTGGTACACCCCAGATGTAAGCAGACACTTTCTGTATGGATA